TTATCACTGCATCCAACAGTAGGACAATTTTAGTCAGGGAAAGCTGACTCTTATCTAGGAAAAAAACTTGTTCATTCAGCTCTCTAAGTAGAGGGCATATCAGATATCAGAGAATTTAAAAAAAAAGAAAAATAAGTGTAAGATTTAAAATTTAAATATTTAATTAGGAGCATATGAAAGAACTTTTTTTGTTGTGTGTCTAAAGCTGTTCCAGATATTTTGAAAACAGAAAAATCTGTGGATCATTACTGGCAGTGTTAGCTGTCTTCTTCCAAATGCATGGAGATATTTATGTTGTGATTAACTTTCCACATTTTTTTCCCAATATTTTGCATGTCAAGATTTTTTCATGTAAAGAAACACACACCTTGAAATGAAAAAACACACTTAGGCTCAGTGCAAATCTACATCATAAATATTGTTCTGTTATTTTTGCTTTGCATTAATCAATTATCTATTATTAGTTTTGTTACTTTTTTCTACTGTTAGTTTTGTTTTTGTTTTATCATTAAATATCACTGTGAAGGCAGGGATCTCAAAACACTTCTTTCCAAGAATTTGTACATGGGAATACATACCTGGCACATTGAGTATGCCACTGGACATCAAAGAGTTTGCCTAGAGATTGTTTAGACTGCATTAACAATCATATTGCAGCAGTAATATCTTCAATGTGAGAAATATTTGTTACTTATTTTAGGAACAATTTCCATGTCAACACTTCCACGGCATTATGTGAGCAGAATTTGTAATTACGCTTATTTATCCTGGCTCAGGTTTAAAAAGCAATGAAGTAAAAAAAAGTTCTAACCTCCCATCTATAAATGCCAAGGAGCTACAGATTCAAACCTTACAGCTGTAAATAAATGGGAAAAGCTCTTCCCTGGAAAATCAGGCTGAAGCCATTACATTTGAAATCAAGATACTAGGTCCAAACAATATCCAACTTGCTCTGCTTTGCCAGCTTCATCTTTAAACAAGCTTGGGCACAGAAGGATGCTGAAATTGCTATCTCTTATTTCCATACATATTTTGAATTTTGCAAATACATACAAAAATAACTCCAAATGAAACATGATAGAGGTTAAATTGCCTCACAATACCCTCAGCCTAATTAAGAACTCGGTACTTCAGCAAGGATGAGTGTGGAGCAGAACCACAATGTACAATTTAATGCTCTCTCGAGCCTAAAAAAGGAAATTCCTCAAAAGCATAAGCTTCATGACAAATTACAGAACTTAAATTTTTTAATTTAAAAATATTATTTTCATGACAGATTTTCCAAGATCCTTGCTTCCTTTTGGTGAACTATGTTTTTGAGTCCAAAAGGTGAGATTACATTTTCCATGCACATTTAAGGTTATCCAGCCACAGTTCAAGCAGAGCCTCCCATCACTGCAGGCATGATAAATTGCCAGCTGCCTTCTCTTATTGCAGTTTACTGTATTGCCTCAAGCCCTTCCCCATTAGGGTATAGTACACAGTATTTTATTGATTTTGGAAAGCAAGCTAGGTGGCAAAAGCATGAATTTTCAAAGGTGAGTGGCTTCATTCTAGTGTGAAATATCAGATATAATTCATTCCTTTCCAGAAGTGAAGAAATGCTGAAGATGAGCTAGGATATTCACATCCTGAGGTTAAGCACTAACACAGCATTCTGAGTCTGTTCCCAACTCTACCTATGATCCTAATTTGAGATCTTCACTAGTCTGGACCTTATTTTTGTGTTTATTATTTGGAAGTGGAAAGGAGGGTGGAAGTGAAAGAGGAAGCAGAATTGAAGAGGGCACCACAAAGCCAATCTTTGTGTGCCTAAACTGGATAATGAGCAGTGATCACAGCACATTTGAAAATACATGTCTCAGTGTGGATTTGGTTTAGTTTGAAATATTCATAATCATGTTTCGCTGTTATCAGGCACACAGTGCCTGAAACAAGATTAATACTGCAAATAATCTCAGAGACTACAGCAACAATTTCTTACAACAATAATTTCTAACAAATATAATCTCACAAAGATTACAACTATAATTTCCTTATAGAAATAAAATGGGTAATGAGACAAATTTGTTCACTAAAAGAAGAAAGGATAATTGGAGTGAAACATCTAATGACGTATTTTGCTTTGTGTTTCCATGCCATATAGCTGGTTTTACTACAGACTTAAGATAGTTCTTTACCATTACTGTTAGTAAAACATTTGGTTTACCTAGCTTTGCTTGAAATTTATGTACTAAAAAAGAAAAAAATTGGGGGTATTTTCGAAGTTCTTTGAGGGTCTTCAAAGATTTTTTTCCCTCCCACACTTGCGGGTTGAATCCTGTACACCGGTCACCTCCAAGTTCCTCACGTTGATGCAAAAGTGTTCAGGAATTGAAAAGCTGAGCTATTTACTTAGAATACCTCATACATAAGATTAAAATTTCCATGTTTCACTGAGTGGAACAATTACCACACTGGCATAATTTCAATTTTAATTTTTTTCTGTAACCAAGAGCAATGAGTTTAACTGAAAACTAGTTGTAAATTTAAAAAAAATGGGGGAGAAGGAGCCAGATATAACTGCTGGCATGAGGCAGGCATCCTGAGGTGATCCTAGGAATGGCAGGGGAAACAGAAAAGACGTATGGTTTCTCTGTCGCAGGAACACTGAGGACTCTTTTCATGTATTTTAAGCAAGATGAATAACCAAAACCAGAGTTACCCCACAAAGATCTCCCCACTTCCTATGTGTGGAGTCATTGCAGAAAATCTCCTCAAAACATTCCATATACTCAGACAAGGAAGTGACTCTTTAACTGTACAACGAAGTATGACTGCAATAACAATTTTTGAGAAAACATTACTGCTGAATATTATACTAATGCATTGCTAAGTGAGAAGAGGGGGTCAAGATATGAGAAAAGCATGAGCAGCATAGTTTTTCCCTGTAGATCCATACAATGACTCTTCATCTCTCGAATTTAGGTTTTCAAAGACCAAGGCTAACTCATTCTTGAATTACAATACGCAGAAGAGGATTCAATATCGCAGCTGAATTGTTTTGTATGTTCATTTCTATAGAAGAACACTAAGGCATTACTAAGGACTTTTTTATTCATTGCTTCAGGGTTCAGTATTAAATCACTTCTTGCAGCACTCTCCGTGCTCACCGACAACCCATGCTACTTCTAATTGAATTTTTGAAATTGGTTATTCATAATCCGAGAATACCTCAGTTCTGTGTTTGTAATAAGATGAGATGCAAAGAGCTCTTTGATTAATGGTCTCAATGATCTTAAATTTCTTTTCCTACCTAAAAAATTCTATGATCCTATACTGTCTTGTACCTCCCATTATAAAACTGTGTATATCCTAATTATTATCATACTAAGCTGTATCGTTCAGCAAGTCCTTGTATGATTGACTTTGTGGTATTATACAGAAATGAAATATGGATAAAGCAACTGTTTATTTTCCTTGGACTTCTTAAACATGAGAGGGCATCATCATTGGCAATTCCTGCTCCTGTAGGTCAAGATGACTACAGAAAAAACAGAGCAAGCCATTTTTGTTCAGGATTTTGATTATTTACAACAGAAAGTAGGTTTATAGCACCAACAAATGATATAAAACTGCAAAATAGTGCAGGTTCATTATATGGGATTAGAATTTAAAATCACATTCATATGGAGTAAGATCCTGAAATTGCGTAGGTATAATAATAAGACACTTCACATAGGTACACAAATCAGCTTCACATGCTATGAGAACAACTACTTTCAAAACCTCGTTGACTTTGCTGAGAGTGCTGGTGCAAAATACCTTTACCATATTTTGTTTGAAATTTCTTTCAGAAAATTTCTTTCAGTATACATAGCATGGAATTTTCACTTAATATTTTAATTCTTTGCATCCTCCCACCCAGATCTGATGGCAACATGCCTGCCTGGGGCAGACAAACAGTTCAGCTGCCTGGCTTTGGGGGGCTGGAGGCAGCATGTGGGGCAGGGCACAGTGCACTTGGCTGTCCTCCATGGCTACAGGAAAACTACTAAGGAGTAGGAAGCCTACTTCCCCCACCTGCCACGGATCAGCAGCACTGGAAAGCACCTCTGAAATATCCAGGCTGTAAGTAAGGTAGCAATAACAGTAAAAAAAATGTGCTAGGGTTGATTTTCTCTCCCTGTGTTCTTAGCTCACGACCAAATGGTGAAGCTCTCTCTTCACAGAATATGGGGCCCCATTCCCTGTGCCACCTCTGAGCTGTGTCCAAACGCTGCATGATAGATGCTGCTCAGCATAGACAAGAGCTGTGCCAGGGCCATGCTCACAAAGAAGCAGCATGGACAGGTAAGTGGCCATGCAAAGCCCTGGCCTTACCTGGTTTGCAGTAGAGGTAAAGCCAAAGCCCAGAAGCCAAGTGAAGATCACAGCTACCATCCAGGGGGGCTAGGAGTGACAAGGATCAAAACAGCATGCACAAGTGACCTGACTATGTGTGTGCCCTCTGAGTTTTACGTTTTTAACCACCAAAGCCTGCTGGTAGTGCAGCTTGCACAGTACGCTTACAGATGCACTTGTTTCTCTCAAATTAGGGCATAAATAAATTTCTGAAAAACTTTGAAAATTCTTCTAAATTATGTTTCCCACATTAGGTAACATTAAGCTTTTCATAAACTCTGTTGGAGCACACATCTAACTCTCCTCAGCAACGGTCTTTGATAGATCACATCCATCCATTTGTGGACATCAAAATGACTTGTACAAAGCAGTTCAAAGCAGGGAAAAAATTGGATACTGATAACTGATACCATGTACAAATAAAAATGTGGCCCATCTTCTTTCTCCAGCAAATGGTTTGCAGGGTGGATTGATTAGCTAAAGCAGACCTGCTGCATCCTCTGCAAAACACGCAACTTTGCTATTGCTGACACTCACAGCCCCCTGTTTGGTGTGAGCACTGCCTGGGTTTCAGTGACTACAGGTGCTAGACACGAAGCAAAGTCACAGCCACGTACCACAGTTGTCTTCGTCAGCCCGATTGCCGCAGTCATCCTCACCATTGCAGTGCAGCTGCTGGGGCAAACACTTTGTGATATTGCCACATGGAAAGTAGCCCAGGGGGCACCTGGTGCCAGCTCCAGAAACGTGATCTTCCAAAGAGTCACAGATGACTAAACAGGAACAGAAAAAATATGTTTATTTTATGATGTGTTTAAAGGTATTTGATATTATGTCTTTGTAAGGAGTCATTTACATTTGAATGTGAATATCAAGCAACAAAAATGTATTAATTCATTGGACATGAAATTAAAAACAGTATATGAAGGACTTGTTAAACTTGGCAAAAATATTTTATATTGTTAGCTAATTGAAATTTCCTTTGATATGAAGCAAACAGATAGTTCTCAAACAGGTAATTCCTCCCTATTCTTCCTCAGAATAAGATCAAAATGATAATTATATAAGACAAATGACCTAAGTCTACCATTTTAAAGAATATTTTCACTATTTATTATAATAATATACCCGATAAGCTATAGGTATTCCTGTCTCTGGAAGGGTGGTTGGAGCTAGATGATTTTTAGGGTTCCTTCCAACCCAAACCATTCTATAACATTAATTTGTGCTGAAGTTTTAGATCCAGATAGGTAAGCCCCTTTATACAAAGTCAGATATATATATGTTTGATTATATTCTAATTTTAAAGAAACTTCTTGGTGTAAATGGATCAAGGATCAAAAAACAAGGCAACTAAGATGAAATCCGTTTTGCTGAAAATTTAGTAGGACATCATGAAAGGGCCAATTATGAATCCTTCAGAAGAGCTGTCAGTCTGATCCAAAAACTGTGGAGGTATTGGTCAGAATATATCAGTGTGAAGTTTAGATACACAGGTGCTCTTCTGCTGAGCCCATGCTCTGTAGGAAGGAATTTCAGAGAACACAGGACTTCATTGAAGCAGTGCTGAGAGGAAAGGTAGAGGGATGCTGATAAGGGACAGCCAGGGCAGCGGAGGACTCTGCCTGTCCTCTGTTCTTCCCTTCTGTGCTGCAGCAGCTGCAATCACCCACATCTGCAGATGCATGATGCCTTACCAGCCCCACAAGGGCACCTGAGGGACAAATTCTGCCATCACCATTTTTTTCCTGAAAAATCATGACTCTGTAATGCTCTGTAATGGATTGCAAGATGCCAAGTCAGATGTCTTGTTGTACAAGACCAACTTCTTCCCAAGAGCATACTATGGAGAGAGTTTAAAATTACACTAGAATTAAATTTGTTCAGTCCACAATACCTTGGAAATGGAGAAAAGCATCATCAGGACGGAACACTACCCAATGTTCTTCACTTCCAAATCTTCCCTAAACCTACCTAGTACCTTTCTGCAAGGGTCTGCTAATTTAATTTTTGAAGCACTTTCAAAAAGGAGGACCATTTGACTTAATGCATACTGTCACAGAAAACCCCAAAAATCAAACACAGATTTTAAATTTCATTACAATCTTAGAGAATTTCAAATACTCTCTAAAAACTTTATTAACTGTGATGTGATGCTTGTTCAGATAGCAAACTCCTAATTCTGAAACATGCAACTATTTTTCCAGGCTATTTTCAAAGACAAAGTATAAATCTTTCACACAACTTTCCCAGCTTAACAAGGAATGTTCTAGGACAATATCTGCACTTATTTTTCTCTTGGACTAAGAGAAATCACCTAAAATTCAATCAATTACTTCAGATTCATAAAAAGTCCCTTCTGGAAGAACTTCCTTCCAGTTAAGCCCTTGACAATGTTTAAAACTCTGAAAAATTGGAATGTAAGAGCTGTAGCTGCAGAAAATGGAGATAAATATCCTCAATATGTACAGAATTATTCTTGCTGTCAGAAGTATCCAGCGTGGAAATTGTTATATTCCAGCTAACCACCACTGAATGATTTAGAAAAGTTGATTTGCTTATATACATAACTATATAATCTACACAATTACTCAAAGAGCATCAACTCCTTAAAACTTTTATGTATAGGTACCAAAAATACAGCTGCATGCTAGTCACAGGGTGAATTCACACTTGTTGATAAATTTTTCTGCTGTTCTGTGCTTGTAATCAGAACATTATGATTAACTTTTTTGTTCCACCCAAAAAGAAGTAGCAAACAAAGCTTATGTAGGCACACTGTTAAGCAAAGAGTGTATGTGTGCTACTTAGTGTCTTAAGTATCATTCTTAGCAAAAAGCTGAGCAGGCAACTGAGGGTCCCTTAAGTGTTACAATCTGAGTACCTACCAAACCATTGGTAAGAGACACCAGTATGGAAAAAACCACCATAAATGAAAACATCCCAAACAGACCATCAAAAAACCTCTCACATTTTGTTAAGCTTTTTATCCTACACGTTAGAGATATATTTAGACTGATCTCAACCTTGTGCTTAAAGGGACTGATCTCCATGCAATTTAAATTTCAAATTAATGCATTTATCTTCTCACAGTACCATTCAATGGAATTTCACAGCATGTCCCAAAATTATTATTAATTATTCAAATAGTATTAAACCCTAAACTAGTTAATGAATTTGCTGTTGCATATTAGAAATCTGTACTTTGCCACAAAGAATAAGTCCCTCATGATTTTCAATGTTTTGAATTCTCTGTACATTTATAGCCTCAGTGATATCTATTCTGAATCTCTGCATTATTCATTTGTGCTATGTTGGATTATCCTGGCATGTAAATATCTGCCTGGGAAAGGAGACAACACAGCTTCAAAACTCAACAACTTCATCCCAGTTATAAAATCAGTGAAAGCACTGGTCTTTGTCCACTGACTTGTTAACATCACTTTGTTTATGCAAAAAAAGACAGAAGTTTGGACTCTGCTGATTGCAGGAGATTTATGTATGGAAAAGCCCCCAGTTCTCTGGGGAAATATTTGGTAAAGCTGACAAAGGTAGACAGGAGATAAGACAGTAAAAACTGTTGTAAAATGGTGGATAATATTAAAACAATTATCTTTCAGATTGAGGAAATTAAATTTCTTGTATGTGAGGAAAATGGATAAAGATAGCAATGCAACAACAGCAATTAAAAATTATGGTTATTGTTTTGCAAATACAGACTTTACTGACATTGGAGTTCACCATGACAAGATAATGATCTATCACTCCATCTTTGTGATGTGGTATTAAAGTTGTTGGCTTTTCTACATTTGATTGATTTTCCACTATGAAAAAATTGAACCACTCGTCTTGTATCTTGTTTGTTTTTTTTTTTTTTTTAGCAGCCCAAAGAAGATGAAAAGTGATAAACCCGTGACAGATTTGCTTATCAGGTTTGCTTTTATAGATAGCAAGTAAAAGAGCCTCTTCCTTGTATACTTTATAGAGAAAATAATCTCCTGCCTTCCTGTGACATAGAGATAATTGCACACATTTTAGCTATTCTGCACCAGAAAATTTCTTTTCATAACATTAAGCAAAAATATTAAAATATTTGCAATGTTCCAAGAACAAAGAGAAAAGAAATAGGTGAAGCAGCAAAACCACAAAAAAAAAACTCTTTCTGGCTTGTTGTCTCAATAAAGAAAAATGTTTAACTTAGCAGCATGTTCATGATACTGCAAATTAAATATTTCTGACTGTTGTGTATTTAGGGTCCCCTACAATCTCCCAAATTCATCTCTAATTTTCAGAAAGAAAAAAAGAATTTCTGTTGTGCACTTTTTAAGCTTGTCCAGACTGGCTGCTTTGAGATGCTTATTACTGTAAGACACGTGCAGTGAGGAAGAAAGTGGATAATGTTCCCTGCTTGTCTTTAAATACCTGATTAATGCTGCTTTCCTTTGCTAAAGGAATAAGCATGTGTTGGGTTGTCATTTAGTAAAGATGATAAGCCTTTTTACTCTGTTCATGGATGCAGAATCACTGGGGAAGGAACATGACAGCCCCTCTTTAAACAGTCATAAAATGAAATCGAAAGAAGGAACGCATTTGGGAAAGCCAAGAACAAGATGTTCCCAGGACAACATGGCTTGGCTTCCAACTAAATTGATTAATTAGGCTTGCTAGTTTTGTGCATTCTTTGAAACACAGTGATTGGGTCACAAGTGCTGTTTGAGACACCAAATAAGGCACATGTGCACTATAGGAACGCAGACTCAAGACTTGTAGGTTCTGTAAAAGAAGCGAGCATGACTCCGTAAAGGGAACAGCTCTGGGCTGGTGGGACTGAGCCATGAGCACCTAAAACCAACCAAAGGCCTTACTCATTGCCTGGTACCCACTAGTCACACCAGTCTCGACTGTGCTGCATATAGGTTCGAATAAAGGCATATCATAATACCAGGAAAATATTTTTGTGTTTTCAAGGGTTTGAATAACATGAAGTCCAGTGTCATGAATCCAAAATGACTCATGAATTCCATCAGCCAAATAAGCTGACTTGTTTTTCCTCACTTAAAGTGAGTTAACACTTCAAAATGGTTGAGGAAATCCAATTGCTTTTTGAAAAGCTCCTTAGATGCCAAGAACTGGGGAATGATTCTGGTACTGAAGAATGCACCCTGTGTTTTTTTGATGGAAAATTATTTTACCTACAAAAGCCCAAGTTCTTCAAATGCACTGATGCAAAACCGGTGGCACTTTTCCAATCTTACATAACTTTTTTTGTTGCTGTACTTCTAGATACAGTGGGAGATGGGCTGGAGAAAGAGAAGACAGAACATATTCTTGCTTTGATACAGAATGTTTTGTTCTAATAAAACAGAATCAACTCAGAAAATATTGAAGTTAAAATTGATTTCACCTGTAATTTTGTGCTAGCTTGAATACTTCAAGCTGACAGTTGATTAAAAAATATCCTGTTCTGCTGAATGGTATATTAAGGGCTTGTGAAATGGCTTTGGAAAACCTTTAACATAACATAAAACAAGTCTCATAAGCCTATTACCTTCATTTGTAAAGATGAATCATCAGAAAAAGGTTATAAATGTTTACAACTATGAATTACTTAACCTTACAAGATGTTTAATTAATTATTAACACAGAATAGAAGTGATGAGTGACTGACCAACTTTGATCAGATGCACCTGAGTCACCAAAAAACAGAAAAGAAGATACAACAACTTCAAAAGATATTTTTAAAAAATAATTTGTTGT